AGAAAGATGCATCCCCCCCCCCCCCAGAACTTTTTCTTCAGACATAGGGGAAACTTGTTTTCATTTTTCCGCCTCAAAAGCCAGGAAGATATGGCCCCTCATCAGCCAGGGCCTCCTCACACAATGACAGCAAACCATCCCCATGCCAAGCGCATGTCATTCAATGACCTTGTACAATTTGGAATAAATAAATCTGGCTGAGTCTCACAAGCTTTCCCCTGGGGCTCACGGTGTCAGCAATTTCACCTCCCTCCACCTGCCCCCCACCCCTGACTTCTGAAAGACAAGATCACAGGAAATAGAAAAGCGAAAAAGCCTTCTTGGTTGCATTTCTCCAAGCAGGTGGGTACATTTGCCCCTCAGGGAAGAGAGCAAGTGTCAACAAAGGCGGCCAGGATGTCATCAACAGGACAGAGCCGCCCTGACAGGGCTTTCCTGCCAGTCAGTTCCGTCCTCCGTGAAGGTGCTGTGTTACAAAAAGCTGAGTGTCTGCTCCACCAGGTACGACCCACAGCGCAAGCCTGGCCTCATGCCTGAGGTCTCCGTGGGGCTCAGGACGGGCCCCAGTCCTCCTGGAGGTGACATCCTGCTTTCCTTCAACCCTGTAACAATGGAGTACACCTCAAGGCAGGTGAGAACACTGACTTTAGAAAACATTTAACCCATCTGGGGTGGCGGGCAGAGCACCGCTCTCTGGTGAGCGCGGGTGAAGGCCTGAGGCGGGTGCGGGAGGACCCAGCCAGTCTGTGCAGGGCGGGGAAGGGCGTCTGTGAGGACGCCAAGCCGGTGGTGCTGGGGGACAAGCATAAGGCGAGGAAGAGAGGTGCGATCACCGAGGCCTCGTCTGCCAAGCTAGAGAATGAGCTTCATCCTGCAAAAGGCATAAGCCAGACCCAGCGTCCTCCGAGAAGCCCGGGCACGTCCAGGCACCCAGGGCTGATGCCCAGTCAGCAGCTCAGACAGGGCGCTGAAGGCTTGGACACAACTCTGCCAGTGTCTCCCAGAGCCCCGGGCTGGGGACGCCCAGGGTTGAATGCCCTTCACCGAAGGCCACTGTGCGCTGTGGCAAAGGCCCCTTAGGCCTGGTCTGCAGAAACCTCGAGGCTGGAATACGTCTGTCTCTTTCCCTTTCCATCCAGAATTGCAAAGAGAGGGTGGAGGGTTCCTTCAAATTTATTTATGACAAACGAATATTATTAGGCTGTAAGAAGATTTGAACTCAGAGCTTCTAGTGACAAAGATCAACTTGGAGTCCTAGATCAAATTAGAAAGAGGTGACTGGAGCCCCGCCCTCTTCCCCCCTCACCTCCCACCCCCTTTTCTGTCTCCTCCCATATTTGTTAAGTGTCTACTTAGTGCCAGGCTCTTCTCCAGAACCAGCGTCTTGCACCCCCGCCCCCCGCAACAGCTCTGAGTCCACAAGAGTAGAAGCCCGAGGGGCCCCCACGGACAGCAGCCATCTGCCATCCTTTCTGTGTCCCCGGAGGCACACGCTGGGGCAGCCACCAGTCACCACCACAGACCTAGGAGCGGCACAGCCGACACCCTATCGCAGAGAATCATGTCAGGCCACGCACCCCAGGGAGCTGCCCTGGCCTCTCCCGGTGGTGGGACACCCCAATGCCAGGAAGCCAGACCAGCCTATGCTGCCACACGGGACCCTGGTACAGCTGCTGGGGACCTGGGCTCAAGAAATGCCACCTCCTCCCTGACCCCAGGGCACTGCGCAGGGCACACCCATGTACACAGGAGGGAGGCCCTGTCTTTCCCAAGGTCGTTCCAACCCCTTACACCTGGGGAGGACTTTGCTGGGAAAGAAACCTTCCACTCCCTGCCCTCCCTCATGCCAAGCTCACAGGTGTGCAGGGCTGGATCTGGCCGTTCCTCAGCAGAGGAAACAGAGCTTCGGACAGAGGAAAAGAAGAAAAATAAGTAGGCTAAAGATCCCTCACTGCTGCATGAAGGGCTTTGAGGAGCGTTAGCAGAGCAGAGGTAGAGCGTCAGAGCCCCTGATGTTCAGGTCTTCGAGTCTGTCTGGAGCATGAGTTCAGCAACCAGCCTCTTCCGACTGTTGTCGGTACAGCAATGCCTGTAAACAGTCTCTCCAGGTTCCGCCAGAACAGCCCCAAGCAAGAGAGAGCAACCTCAATCCAGGTGAGCTGTCTGGATAACAGCTATGTCCCAAGGGTCCCAATTCATGGGGCATTGGCTGGAGCCGCACTGGGGGCCTGGGGGGAGGGGGCTCTAGACATGGCAGGGGAATGGGCTTGCTGGGGTCCCAGCCCAGGAGCCTCAGGGCAACATCTCCTCTGCAGAGAGCCTAGCCTGAGGGAGCCCGCAAAGGCGATCTCCTGGGAGCACCACACCCCCCAGTGGCCAGCTTTCCTCAGTGCCTCCCTCCTCCCCAGGCTAGCCCACAAGGGCCCTTAACCTCCTGCCCCAAACAAAAGGGCCTTCAGGGAGAAAGGAAGGAGGGAACAGTCACCACAAAACTGCAATAATTCTTCATCCATCCAACAGATACTGCTTGAGGCCCAGCACTGGGCCTAACTGTGAGGTTTGGAGGCCACAGTCCTGCCTGCAACAGGACACCAAGCTGCAGCATCCAGCAGCTGTCAGCGCAACTGTTGACCCCCAAAGCTTTGAGGTTTATGTTCTAGGGAGCTGGTGAAAAAGTGTCAGGCTAGCACACCCCAGAAAGAGCAGGTAAGCACCGTGCCTTGAAGAAAGAGCCGCAGCAAACCAGGCTGCAAGGGAAGGATGGAGGGAGGATGCAGCTGTAGGGAGGTAAGAGGGATGGCCTGACAGATGGTCCCGAGGAAAGGCCTGACAGAAAAGGTGGTAAAAATTAGATATCAACACCTCAACGATGTTCTCTGCTTTGAAGAAATAAGGTGGATGAAAGAGAGATTGAAAAATAGTTGAAAATTTCAGTGTAGCTGTTTTCATTGCCTGTATCATAAACAGTTTTCTAAGAAGACCACCGAGGAGACCAGTTATGACCAAGAATCAGTTTAGTCATTAGCCTTATTCTTGTACTGTGCTGTCTTAACCATAGTTTTAGGATCACGAAGTGGCAATTGGAGAAAGCTACTTTCTTTGAGACACACTGTGCCAATGCTTTGATAATCTGTGATGTACATTCTGTGACGTCCTTTTCCTTGCGCCTCTTTTCTAACTTAATGCCAGTATTTATAAGGGACCCAGGTAGTTGCATTTGAATAACTTCAATGTACTTTAGATTCACGTTTCTATTTGACTCAAAAAAAGCACTGGTTATCGTCTGTGTATTTTAGACGTCTGAAGTCAGTGAGATGAAACCCAACACAGGGACTTGAAGCAAAGTAACTTGTACAGGAAGAATGTAAAGAAAAATTGGGTTTGGCAAGAATCATAATTACAGCTTTAACTAGTTTGCTGGTTTTTAAAGATTTGAATTGTAATAAAAAATTTATATGCTATTTCAATTTTTAGTAGCAAATAAATGTGTGTGTATAGAGGATCTTATTAAAAGTGAGATTTGAACACCTTCAAAAAAATAAAACTTCTTGTAAGTGAATGAAAATACGGTTGAGGGGTCGCCAGTCCTCTGCAGAGTAACAGTGAGTCAGGACCTCTTGCTACGGATGTAATATATTTCCACCTTTTCAAATTTAATATCTCGATTGTATACTTCTTATCAGTTTAAAAAACCTAATGCACTTATGAAAAACTGAAAATAATCCACCCCACCTCCAGTCCCATCACTTGAGATAACCAGTTTAACTACTCTGTGTCACCATCACAGCCTTTTAATCCAGATGTCAACATGCATTTCTATAAAAGGACTAGCCGTACTTTGCGGACATTGTGTTAAGTTCTCAGAGGCATTTACATAACAGCGCACTTTTTTTCCCCCCTTCAGTTACTATGTGCTGAAAGTCAGTAGGGGGTTCAGTAAGTATGTCAGGGGAGACAGAGCCACAGAGTGATACAGAAGGGAGAAATCTGGAGGAGGAAAAGATGGAAAAGAAAGAGGAAAGGAGGACAAAGGAAGGGAATGAAGAATGTCATACAAAGGAAGGAAAAGAGGGGAGCGAGAAGGAAGGAGGAGCAGGTAGAGAGAGGGAGGGAGGCTAGGCTGGAGGGAGGCTAGGCTGGAACACCAGTACTGCAGAAGAAAAGGGGCTGTGAAGCCCACGCGGTCCCGCCACGGCCTCGCCTCTGGCCCCGCCCCTGGCCCCGCCCCCGGATGCAGCGCC